CTAAATCCCTCCCTAGTGCCAAACTTATTAACTGTCGTAAATTAGTTAACTTGAAGTAAGCTGATTGCAAGAGGGGGTGTTGGGAGTGTGCAATCACCTCTATTGTATTCTTTTTGAGTCATATGTTCCGTGGTCTTTAAGCCGCCATATTAGTTACGCTGTATTACTTTAAGTTTCGTCCGTAAGATGTCGAGATCTGTTCTTTGTTTAGTTTCATAGTTTAAGTTACGTCTCTAATGTATGTACAGTTCATCTTACGCTCGCACAACGAACGTCTTTGTATTCCGTTCGATCTGAATTACACCTTCTTTAAGAATAACCCAACATATCTCATGGGAAGAAATTTTAAAACAAATTCGACAATCAATACTTGGAACATCAATCAAATTATTAATATGTCATGGATTGGTAAAAATCCCAGAAATCGAAAATCAGAAAGACATAATTGAAGAAGCTCATTCTTCCAAAATTGGAGGTCATAAAGGAATAACTAAAACTTATAATCGAATTCGGCAAAATTTTTACTGGGATAATATTAAATCTGATATCCGAAACTATATTAATCAATGTTTACAATGCCAAATTAAAAAATTAGTTAGAGTAAAAACCAAACAACCAATGATAATCACCGATACACCTTTTTCGTCTTTCGAAAAAATATCAATGGATATAGTAGGACCTTTACCTGAAACTTCGAAAGGAAATTCCTATATTTTAACAATCCAAGATCACTTAACCAAATTTTCCTTGGCGATTCCTTTAAAATCGATAACTGCTGTGCAAGTTGCTGACGCATTATTAAAATATTTTATTTGCCTTTTTGGAGCCCCCAAAATAATATTAACAGATAGAGGAACAAATTTTATGAGCAATTTAATGAAACGATTCAGTAAACAATTCAAGATTAAGCAATATAAAACTACAGCCTTTTATCCACAAGCCAATGGAGCATTAGAAAGATCACATATAGTATTAATAGAATATTTAAAACAATATGTTAACAAATTCACTGAATGGGATGAATTATTAGAATTTGCAACCTTCTCATATAATACAAGCACACATGAATCAACTGGATATACTCCATACGAGTTGGTATTTGGAAAATTAGCTAGACAACCTTCTAGTGAAACAATTGACGATGAAAAAGAAAGAAAGTATGATGATTATCTAACTGAATTAATGACAAAAATTCATAATTTACAAGAACGAGAATGTTTAATTGCATCTAAAATTAAATCAAAATTTTATTACGATAGAAAACTTAACCCTCAAGAATTTCAAATAAATGATGAAGTTTTTCTTTTAAGTGAACCCAAAAAGGGAAAATTAGGAGATCAATATTCGGGGCCACATATAATAACTGATATTTTATCTAACGGAAATATTAAACTTCTTGTTAAAGGAAAATTAAAAATTGTTCATCCCAACAAAGTACGTAAGAAAAAGAAAAATTAATTTCTTTTAACTAATGAAATTTTTTAAACTGTATTTAAAATATAGAAGCAAGAATGAAGAATTTAATCTACATAATAATCATTTGGATTCTACAACCCGAAGAAACTCTTGGACTCATTGGATATGACTGTGGAACAACCAATCTCAACGTAACAACTATATCATTATTGGATATCGAAGAATGTAATATAGTATACTCATAATTCAACCACATGTACAAGAAACAAATATTCAACTGCTACAATTGTCAAAATTCGAATCAACAAAGGTCATACAATGTAAAATTTCTGTTGCTAGAACAATTTATTATTGCGGAATGCATTCGCATATTTCAACCGTAACAAATGCGCAAGCAGAATATATACTTGATACAACTCTAGATCAATGTAAGAATATGCATAAGTCAGGAAGTCTAGTTTTAAATGTTAACAGTATCATAAACGGATTGAAAGCAAATTATACAACATCGCGACCAATAACTTTAGCGGGATCTGTAACAACAGATGGACAATGTATCGGAACTCAATATTCGGACCCATATGGGACTTGGCAAAATGTAGTTGTGCAAGGAATAATTACAATAAGTCTAAATTCTTATGAAGCAACTATTAACATTGAAACAAATAAAATACATTTAAAAACAGGAACTATTTGTCAATATTCAGATGAAGACTGCATAGATATCGAAGGAAGATATACATTTTGGGAAACAATACCTAATGATTATTGCAAATTTAACCATTATGACATTTTATATGAAGGAAAAGCAAATAAGATGGTCAGTGAAATTAATGAAAAATTACAAATTATTTATTCCTTGTCAACTCAGGACGTAACTTTTGCTTTATCACAAACAGGCGAAGAGCTTCTTTGTGGATATACTTTAATTAAAACAGAACATCCTAAACTGGTAATTCTAGAAATTAAAAGCGGGGAATCTTTAAACAAAAAACGAAAAATTTCAGTAGAAAATTTAGATATTTTTGCATACGTGAACTCAAAATTTGTTTATGTTGAAAAACACATTCGCACACAGATAAATCACCTATACACAGACGTACTCAAACAACGCTGCAATTTGGAACGACGAGTAATGAAGAACGCACTCAGCCTTGCAATTCACGCACCTGACGACTTTGCCTATCAAATTATGAAAGGACCAGGATTTATGGCGGTGATTTCGGGAGAAGTTGTACATATCATCAAATGCACTCCTGTGGAAGTAACAATTCGACACACCCAGGAATGTTACCAGCAGTTACCAGTATTCAAAGGAAACGAATCATACTTTTTGGCTCCAAGGACACATATACTTTTTAAAACTGGAAGCCAGATATCATGCAACAGAATCATTCCAACAATGTATTTATTAAACGACGGATGGTATCATATAGCACCAATTTTGGAATACAGCAAACCTCCAGAAACAATGAGACCGATGTCTCAACCAATTTGGCATTACAGCGATCCCGAATCATTGGCAGCGAGCGGCATATACTCAAACAACGAGCTAGAAAATTTACGAGACCATATCATGTTTCCAGCAGAGAAGAACGGAATTCTAAACACTGTGGCTCGAGGCGTAAGAGGAGAGCCAACCTTAACGCAAGGGATATCTCTTTCACATCTACTTGACGAAAATTCATTGAAGAAAATAACCGAAGACACTTGGAAGAAAATTTGGGGAACATTTACATTTGTTGGAAACACAAGTGCCGGAGTAATTGGAATATTTTTCCTATTTAGAACGATGAAATTAATAATGGACACAATTATACACGGTTATGCAATTCATACTATATACGGATGGTCTATACATTGGTAAAACTGCAGAATAGGGGACCCAGCTCCTACGACCTTGACCTTCAAGGTCAATGTCAAGG